TTTATGTGTCCTATATTTAAAAAAAAATACTATCTTACCAAAACAAAATATGCAACATCAACTCTCCATATGAATAAATATATATATACATATATCTTTAAGTTTTGCTGACATAAATTTTATAATTCAAAAAAAAAAAACAAAAAAAATAAGATATTCTTTCCGTACATGAAATTATTCAAATTTTCTTTTCTTTTCAATTTAATTCTATTATACCCCTTTTTTTCTCTTTTTTTATTTTATATAATTTCTATAAGTTTTACACTAGGTACTTACTACCTTCGACGAAATGACGTCACTTCTCGAGTTACAGGTACCTAGCTAAAAAAAAAACAATTAAGAGAACTTTTGGAAAAACAAAAAAAAAAACATATATGGGTAGATCAATAAATATTTGATGCACTTAAAGAAGCTCTACGTTGTTTAACTATTAATGAAGAGATTAATGTTCACAAACTCTTTTTTTTTCCTTTTTGTTAATTACACCAGTGACGATTGCTGTAAGGTGCGGAGGTGTGCGGTGAACACCCTAATATAATTTGCAAAATGTTAAATAACTTAGCTATATAAATTTATTAAGTATCATCACATCAAGAATTATTATTATTTATTACATTTCCACATATATTTTAAAAGTTTTAGCAAAAACAATTAAATATAATTGTCTATGAAAACTCAATCAATTTGCTTCTGTTAGCTGCTATACTTGTTAGTTGTGCTCACATATTTGCAGCTCAAATCACAGAACATTTCTATTTTATTTCGTCTCTCCCCTTTGTGTTCACAGAAGTTGGCCGCACATTTATACGTTGCATATGAACAAAATAATGTGCGTGTGCTCCCGTTCGTAATATCAGAGATAGAGATTTATATAGTGGGAACTGTATGAGAGTAATTTTCTGTTCTATTCGAATATCAACTACATGCATACGAATCCAACATGATGATTTGCCAAAGTGGTTGCATGAGCGGCTGAAGTTTGCAGCTCATATCACCATACATTTAACAGTAACACCAACGAATTTCTGTTCTTACTGTGCGGGGTACTTGTCCGCACATTTATACGTTGCAAGTGGGTTCGATTTTGTTTGATCACTGCATAAACATTTATGTTTCCCAGTACAAACTCTTTTGTTTGAAAAAATTTGGTTTGATGTTACGAGAATTATGTGAAAAGTTTTGTTTCTTCCATATTGATATAATATTAAACTTATATATAAAATATTAATTTAATTTGTTTAATATGTTATTTTGTTAATGAATTATTAATATAATATTGCGAATATATTGTTGCCTAATATAATACGGTTATTATTAGTAAAACATCTCATATATTTTAATTTAAGTGGTACATGTAAAAACAACATTAAAGAAGGGCCGCACACCATTCCAGATAGAGCACGCGTCGTCACTGAATTACACCAATAAAAAAATTCAAAAATAGACAATTTAAAATTAATGATTAAAAAAAACTTCCTTTTCGTTAGCGGCAGGTCCTTCGTTTTTATTTTTTTTTTCCTTAGCGCGCTCCAGGAGCTTAACACCAAACTCAAAAAAAAAAATGAGACTTTTTCGTACAGCACAATCTGCTTCTAGTTCTTATTCTCACTATGCTTTAAACTTATTACCATTTAACTTCTTATACTTGGTGAGTTATATTTTTCTTCTCAAAAAAAATAATGTTTTTTTTTTCTTTCTGCTTATTTTCTAATAATACATCTTGTTATGTAGGCCCAGTTGAAGAAAACATGTAATTTAGTAATGAAAAAAGAAAAAATTTTGTTCAAGATTTTACCTGGGTTGTCCCATGCTGTACAAGAGCACCTTGTTTATATAAAACACGGATGGTTCCCTGTGGTTGGGTGGTTTTGAGTGTTTCCAGATATGAGCGGATTTTTTTTTTGTTTTTTTTTTTAATTATTATTTTGATTTGATTTCACTTTAAATACTGGTAATAAAAGAAAAAAAAATAGAAATTATTATGTGCATTGCGCGCACATGCTAAGAAAAATAAGTGAAAGCTTTTGCGTCATTTGTTTTGATTATCAAGATCGCGGCGAAAGCTCTTACACTTTCCTAACTTGCAATTTTTAGTGCTGCCAATAGAGCAGAACATGTAAATTAGGAGTTGTAGTTTTAAATTTTCGGAATGTAGAAAAAGAGAAACAAACAAAACGTTAGGAGAACGAAAGTTTCTGCTCAATCTCTTTATTAATAAATAACGTAAAGACTCTTGAAGTGCATCAAATATTTGTTGATCTACCTAAACATTTTTTTTATTGTTACCATAAGTTCTCTTAATTGATTTTTTTTTGTAGCTAGGTATCTGGAACCCGAGAAGTGACGTCATTTCATCGAGTGTAGTAAGTACCTAAGGTAAAATTTATACAAGTTGTATAAAAGAGAAAAGAAAGAGTAGAACAGAATTAAATTGTATAGAAAAAAAAAAATTTCAGAAATTTGATGTACAGAAAGAAGGTCTTGATTTTTTTTTATTTATTTATGAAACTTGTGTCAGAAGAACTTGAAAGGGATATACATATGTTCGTAAGAGATATTGCATATTTTGTATTGACAAGAATTTTTTTGTATATATATATATAATACATAAATAGTTTTTTTTATTATTTTTATTATTTTATTTTTTTTGCTATTGTAAGCATATATTTTAAGTTTCAATAAATGTAAAAATAATTTTTATAAAGCATAAAACAATTGGTTGCAAGTCATTTATTGGTTGGGGTTATTTCTAGGAATGTGAAATTTGTTTGATTAAGCTAATATAGATAGTTGTAATATGAACTAAAAACAAATCAGTAGCTCTAAGGGTGTGCTGGAGGTTATTTTATACAAGGGTAGTGAGACAGTAATACCGAGTTACAGATAAAATATTTCAGTAATATCTAGAAGATGGCAACAGAGAAGAAGTGTTAAAACCTGAAGCAGCTTTCATCCAGTGAACAATTCCTCATAGATAAAGAGGACATAACATCAATGATACGAAACCTGGGCATGGGTCCTGGTAAAACGTGCTGGCTGCGTAAAAGCGAGGAGATCACTCTAAGTACCACGGCAGCAGCCGTCATCATTGCAAATAAAAAAAGAGTGATGCCCATTTTATTTGACTAGGGCTTCTTTAAATTCAAACAGAATAAATGAGGCACATGATAGTTCTTGAGTAGGAAGGAGTTAGAAATTGGAATGAATTCTGAATAAAAAGAAAAGAAAAAAAAAATAGAGGGAAGGGAAAGAAAAAAATAAAAAGAAAAAAGGAAAAGGGAAAGAAAGAGAAAAGAGAAAAGTGGTATAACCGAGGTAATATAGAATTTAAGTTTTATTTTTTTTAATATATAATTATTTATATAGTTTTCTTTTGAAGTATAAATGAATTTAGATAATATTTAATAGTTAAGGTGATAATAAGTTAGATAGAAATAAGTCATGACATGATTTATTTTTGTTAGATGTCAACAGTAGGATTTGAGTAGCCAAGAACCCCACCCCTAAACCGGCGAGCATACCGGGCTTGCCACCATGTAATGCAGGGCACTTAAGTACTACTGTTAACCATCTGAGCTGACACAACAAATGGCGCCGATAAGATAGAGCTGACACAACGAGACAACGATAAGATAGAAGACGAATACTTGAAGACGGACGGAAGGACTTCAAGTTGGTCGCACAACAAATGAAGTGCATCCACTATACAATATAGTTAACTGTAACCCGGTGGGTTAAGAAGTCTACAATCGTCTTGCCTAATTTCTGTTCAGGCAGAAGGGGTATTGCGGTGTTGTGTAGTGATGTTTGATTTATTTGCCGTCAAGCGTGTGAAGTACTGTTAACCATAACCAATTCACCAATGAGAGCGACAGGGACAACATGGGACAGACAACAGAGACTAACACAATAGGTTTTATATTTCCTTTATGGATCAAGCAGCGTTAAGTGGCATAGGTAGTGATTAGCCAGTGGCTTAGCTAACAGTCGTCTTGTAAAAGTTTGTTAAAACAAACTATACATTGCGGTGTCACGTAGTTCTTTTTGTAGATTACTTTTGATAGGAAAGTTTAATTAGTTTTCTTTAATTTTTACTATGCAGTATGGTTAGTTAAACCCGGTGGGTTGACTAACAATTGTCTTGCCTATTTTCTGTTAAACGGAGTAGATATTGCAGTACTAGCATAGTTTATTTTATTTAAATAGGAAGTCGGTTTACCGTGATACAGTTCAGAGTAAAACTAAGTCTTCAAAGTTTTTTTTAAAGTCAATCACAGGAACTCTTTCATCCGTATCTGAGTAATGATAGATTTAGGCACTGTTGTGATTGGGCCAGTAGGATTGACTTACTTATCAAATGATTCGTGGGTTGACTACAGGACGACAGGACAATATGACAGAGACAGTGACAGAAACTGTTATTTCAAGTAGTTTTTTTTCTTTTGTTTTTCTTTTTGCTCATTTGCTTCAAAGTATCTGTAAGTTTTACTGTGCTAAGCCTGCCTAGAAAGACGTTAACCGTAAAGCACACCCAGAGCTAAATCATCGTTATAATTGTTACAACCATATCAGTTGTAATTTACAATAAAGTATTGCATAAATATTATTAAGTTTTACTATTATAATTTAGTGTTTTTATATGGTACAAAGTTATTATTTTATTTTAATTTTTTTTTTTTTTTTTTATTTGGTCATATGTTTTGAACAAAATCAAGAAATGTAGGATTAGGTGGAATAGTATGGTCGCAACACTGAAATACCCCCCTGAGCCTTAATTGATACCAATTTTCGAATTCAATTAAATTATTATAGTCAAATAATTTGACTTATACAATAATTATTCAGTGTAATTAAGTAATTTAGGAATATTTTACTAACCAACAATCAAGACAACTTAAAAGAGTTTGTAATACTATGAGATAATATATACTTGCCATGGAAATAGAACTTGAAAATAAGACACAATCGAATAGAGCTGGACGAGCTCAACAGTATGGAGTATGGAGCAACTAAAACAAATGATGTATATGATGATGAAACGAAACGAGGTTTTGGCAGAAGATCTTGGTTGTGACGAGAAAACGTTATATCAACAAGAGGAGTTCTCGAATACTTCACCCTTGATAAGTGTTTGTCTGTGTACACGTGAAGAAGAACATAAAGATTCACGAAAGGTAAATTATGAAGAAACGCCCAGAGATGTTTTAACGCAGGATGTAAACGTGAGGCGAGTGGATACAATTCAAACATTATCAAATAGAAATATTAACCACTCTGATTTACAAGCCAGCGTACATACTACAGAAGTAAATCTGAGTAGTTCAATGCTAGCTACTAGTGCACGTAACTCCTCAGAAATGGCTGTTTGTCGTTTAACGATTCTTGATCCAGTCTACTTAGGCGAAAATAGACATCGAGAGGTAGTAATGGAAAAGTGTTGGTCAGATGACCAGATTATAGTATCAGGTTCTGAAGCCTCACGTTTAACACTTTGGCGTGTTAATGAAGATAAGATAAAGTTTCCGGACGGTGGTCCTATTTTTGATACAATTAATCCACGATCTGTGAAGGGTTGTCATACAGAAAAAAAATTACGGTCATTGGGTTCCAATAACGAATTTAAGGAAATAGCTGCTTTATCGATTACATGCACATTTTTAATGCTGAAACTTTCAAACAGGAATGTTCTCGTAAGTTACCAAACTGGCAGTATAACGTTAGCATAATTTATTATTTTTATGAACTATGTTTATAACATGCAGTTATAAAAAGTAGGTGTCTTTCACGCCAAAGACATATTCAGTAAATAGTTTACAAGTTTGTTTGAATTGATAAATAACATGTCACGACACAATTTTAAAATCAGCCAAAAGTACGATAAATGCCAGGCTAGTTCAGGCGGTAGAGTTTGAGATCAGAATCAGGGTATGGGTCGAAGCCACACGTTGGGCGTAAGAAAAATAAAATGCAATACCTGTTACAACGCCAGCAAAGCAACAAATTGCCTACATATAAATTTTTTACGGGTATGTTCCATGTTACAGGTAACATCGACAATACCGATCCTGTTATGTAGGCCTAGTTGAAGAAAACATGTAATTTTGTAATGAAAAAAGAAAAAATTTTGTTCAAGATTTTACCTGGGTTGTCCCATGCTGTACAAGAGCACCTTGTTTATATAAAACACGGATGGTTCCCTGTGGTTGGGTGGTTTTGAGTGTTTCCAGATATGAGCGGATTTTTTTTTTGTTTTTTTTTTTAATTATTATTTTGATTTGATTTAACTTTAAATACTGGTAATAAAAGAAAAAAAATAGAAATTATTATGTGCATTGCGCGCACATGCTAAGAAAAATAAGTGAAAGCTTTTGCTTATCTTATGGTCATTTGTTTTGATTATCAAGATCGCGGCGAAAGCTCTTGCACTTTCCTAACTTGCAATTTTTAGTGCTGCCAATAGAGCAGAACATGTAAATTAGGAGTTGTAGTTTTAAATTTTCGGAATGTAGAAAAAGAGAAACAAACAAAACGTTAGGAGAACGAAAGGTTCTGCTAATCCGCCAATATTGGTAACTGGAGAAAAAATTTAGAAAAAGGCCAGTTACAAGGATTAGCGGGGGTATAAAATTAGTGAGCAGAGCTGTAAGAAGGTTGGTTTTTGAATTGAATTTGGTTAGTGAGCAGAGTAAAAATATACGGCGGAATTTAAAATAAAAATTGTGAACAAATTTAGCGAAAAGTCTTTTTCTTGTGAATTACTGCACAGAAAAGAAGAAAAAACCTAAATTAATTGTTTATTCGTCTAAAAGTGAATTTTTGAAGTTGTCACTTAATAGTAATCACATAACAATAATTTAAAAAAAAATTGTGAACAAATTTAGTGAAGAGTCTTTTTCTTGTGAATTGCTGCACAGAAAAGAAGAAAAAACCTAAATTAATTATTTATTTGTCTAAAAATGAATTTTTGAAGTTGTCGAATATGTAGTGGACCTACCTCACTTACTTCTTAGCCACTTAACATTACTCATAAATAATAATAATAAGCAGATTTATGAATTGGTTGCACTTCATGCATACCGTACAAGAAGCATAAGCAAAGCGACATAAACAAAAGAGTTTCGTATTACCAACGAAAGTATTGCCACACGCTGTTCCAATTGCTGAACACATGTTACAATATTATCAATAGTAATATTTCCTATATTGCAAAAGATATGTGCAAGCAATATTGTTAATGCACTCTAATAATAACTTTGACGTTTGACCTAAATGAGCAAACAGTGTAGTCGCTATGCAATGCATTCTGCAAGGTCAGCAATCACTTTGATTGGCTGCGGTTATACTTTTCCAGGTTTTGTCTGGAATAAAGAGGCGGAGTCATGAGATCGCTATAATCTAGAAAAATGTATAAATACCCAAACTATTGTTCAATAAAATCAAGAATATACTTATGACTGCAGAAATATATGCGTTGTTGAATTTATTCTCACTCCTTCTGGCCAAGTAACACTGGCCTAGGTACCAGCGGTAATAATCCGCTTGATAACTTGTTCTTGATTGCATCAGTAGGTTTAGGATGCATGCTCGTATCAGGCAGGGATAATTACACGCACTCACAAGACAAGTATTACGTCTCATTTACCTGACGATCCTGTCTACATCTGAACGGGTAAACACAGTACATGGTGATCCAGCCATTACATTGATTGAATATTGCCCATACATCCATTCATACATTACATGGCGATCCTGCCATTCATTACACTAGTTCCATTACAAAGAAGTTACATTACATGGCGATCCTGCAGGCCTCAGTGCCAAGCGGACCAATTAGAAACTATACCATTTGAATTAATTGAAAACAACACGATATGGTAGATGAAGCGACCTTCCACGCAATTTTTCGCAAATACGAATTGATACTTCAAGCGACGAATACAAAATCAGAAGAATACGTTCCAGAACAAGTGGTGCAACACGAAGAAGCATATCCGACGTATGTACCAACACCACGGTCAGCCGGCCCAAAAGCAATTACAATAGAAGAATACAAAAGGCGACAAGAGGCAAGAAAAAGACCTACCACACCTGTCAATCCACCACAATAAAAGAAGCCAAACAGACGGAGAGGTAAAGCATTCCGCCAACGAAAGCAAATTGCTCAACTGTACGAGAGGTACAACCTGGCGACAACCGTTGTAGAAAAGAAGAACATCAAGCTGGAGATAAAGGACTTGCGCAGAAACAGGAATAAGAAGAATTAATAAATTATATTTTTTTTATATATCTATATTATATTTTGTATTTTTGTCAAAAAAAAAAAAAAAATAAATAAAAATTTTTTTTATTATGAATAATTTCAATTGTTTTGTTTGTGGTAAAAGTTACCATACAAGTAAAAAATTAACTAAACATATAGATAATAAACATTTTAAACTGATAAATTACGTAAATCAACTAATTAAAAATTTATAAGAAGAAAAAAAAAAATATTTTTAAAATGGGATTTTGGAAGAAAATTTTTACTTCAATTCCACTCATATTTACAGGATATGAAATAGGCAAAACAATTGAAAATAAGAATAATAATATTGAAAACAATAATATGTCAAATGTAAGTTATTTAGAAATTATATTATCAATAACTGTAATAATAATAATAATCTCATTTATCGTTAAGCAAGTTTATAAGAAATTAAAACGTAACCTTGTTAGACAACAGGTACAAATATGAATAAGAATATATAATGGCCACATGGCAAAAAATTTACGAAAACATTGTAACCGAAAATGAAAATTTTAATAGAGCATATAAATGCTTAAATAAAACTATAAAAATCAAGGAAGACACAGTAAATAAGCACTTACAAACACTTTTCTCCACGCTTGAATCAATAAGAAGTATACTAAACGTATACAACGAAAAGTTTTCAAAAGAACATAAAGAAACTGGTTTAGAAATTTTCTGGCATTTAAGAGACAAATTGATAAAAATATTATCACAATACAATATTGATATGTCAATACCACACTCCATATCAACACCAATATCAACACCAATCACCTACATTCCTGAAAATTCAAACACTGAATCTGATAACACAAGAAGAACCATGTCTGATTTCAATTTAGAAGTAGCTACAAAGGCTATTCCCAGCTTCTCAGGAAATCACAGAGATCTAGAACCTTTCATAAAAATAATTGAAATTATTTACAATGGTCTCACGCCTACAAGCAAAAGTTCACTTATTGATTTTATACTTTATGTAAAATTATCGCAAATAGTACGAACAAACATAACTGCGATTCAACAGCCCACAACACTAGAAGAATTAAAAACCCTGTTATCTAGTAAATATAAAACAACAACCACTATACCGAAACCACAAAACCAACTAACCAACTTAACGCAGAGAAATCTAAACATTTCTAACTACAAAAATAAAATTCTCTATTTAATATCCGAGCTAAATAAACTTCAAATAGCACAAATTAGCCCTAATGCCACACTTGAACAAAAAACACTTATCACTCAGCTAAATGAACAATATAGCTTAACCGTATTTAAAAATGGTTTAAACGACCAATTTAAACAAACTATTTTTTCCGCACTCCCAAAATCTTTTGACACAGCCGTAGACCTAGCCCTAGAACTTGAACAAATTAATGATAACAATAACGCAAGGGTTATGTTTATCTCTAATAATAAACGATATAATAATCGCAATAACTATCAATAAGCCCATAATCGAAAAAGAATTATTAGCCATTCATTGGGGCATCAACCAGTTTAGAACATATCTTTATGGTAGAAAATTCATCGTGGTAACAGACCACAGACCACTAGTTTCATTATTTACACATAAAAATCCGTCATCCAAAATGACAAGAATCAGAGTAGATTTATCTGATTATGATTTTGAAATTATTTACAAACAAGGCAAAATAAATACAAACGCAGATGCACTGTCACGCATCAAAATAGATAGCGATACACTGAGAGCAATGATACCTACTATAGAAAATGACGTAGAAAATATAAAAATTAACATTTTAACAAGAGGCAAGGCCGCAAAATTAAATAAGAATGAAGAAATTAAGCATGCATGTAAAAATAATGAAAATAAAGAAGCGCAAATATATAAGAAAAATGAATACAATGAATTATCCGCGGAACGCATTAGAGATACATCTCCAAAGAAGTGCACATCCTTCAATGACGTTAAAAATTTAAAGAAATTAAAATTTAAAATTGATAAAGAAAGTAGTACTACAATTGAAATAATTAATAATGAAGTGCAAGTCACATGTAGCGATGACCCTAGATTCAATGTTGGAGAAACTACATAGTACTATGCACAATTCACATATAAAGGAGCTAGCCCTTTGTGAACAAGAATATATATTTAAAAATATTAAGATGAATGCATTCAAGAATAAATATAATGAGCTCAAAGAAAATGAAAGCGCGCCAATAAGAATTTTAATATATAAAGCTCCAAAAGAAATAAATAGTGCGATACTTAAATCAGGTCATTTAGGTGTTAGGAAAACAATTTTAAAATTAAAACAAAGATATATATGGAAAAACATGCGGCAAATGGTTAAAGAATTTATCAACAGTTGCACAAAATGCGCACAGAATAAAACAATAAAACACATTAAAGAACCGCTTGTAGTGACAGATACACCAACTTCAACATTCAGTACAGTCTCAATCGACACA